CCCCCTCCTTGTTAACCGTTATCTCCACCGTCCAACTGGGTGACCTTCACTCTTCCTATTACACATCACATCACTTAGATCCACACCGCCGGAATCCATCACACATGCTTCATATTCACCTTGAGGCACACACACCACAACAAACGGGGGAAGGTGGGGGGGATTGTCATGTGAGGACTGCTCGGCGGGTAATGTTGATGCAGGGCGTCCATACAACAAGATATACAGGGTGGGAGTTACGATGCCTTATCTTTCAGCACAAGTTGCAAACCCTGACACAAGCAGTTAGTTTCCCAACATCACGTGACCTGCGGGGCATATTTAGGATATTTACTGAATAAGCTGAACCCTGATGGCCCGTTCAAAGGTCAACAGCAAAATTTCCTATTACTCACCTAATATGCTCTGCATCCTGTCTCAAATGTCACATTATTAAACCGCGCGTAAAGAGATTGACACCGATCATATAAGATGACCGACCACCGACACTCAGGACACTCTTCCGGGTTTAGGCGCCCGTGACTTTAACATCAGGATTTGCTATGGGTTTTAAAGACTTACTGAACTTACTTGACATGCAGTTCAAATGACTTTCTCTGATCAGCCGGTTACTCGCAGGTTGTAGCCTTTTTTGACAGGCTAATTCAAGTGCTAAACACTCATGACGATCGCTATAGTATAGGCGTGGTTCCGTGTTTATATGTTGATTAGTTGACCCATAATACAGAAAGTGTCCGATGTAGACATTGCAGTGAAGAATGCTCGCCGATAACTCAACGCACAAGGCAATGCCGTTTCTTAAAAAGTTATATATACAACAATGTAAACTGTAGGTTAAACGTTAACCAAGACACACTTTTTTTACCCATCAGTTTAGCATCGACTTGTGATCACCGGTAACATGTGGATCCGGTTAGCGCCGAGTGTCCTTGTGACAGCTACCGGGCCAGGCGCACGCAAATTCGGCTGGGGCTGAGCTCCGTGAGCCGCTCACCTGGAAGGCCTTCTGGTTCTTATGCGGGGTCTGGCCTCTCTTCTCGTCGGCGTGTCTCACGGCGTGATACGAGCTCGTCTGTCGCAGCAAGAGACCCAGTTTCCGTCTTTGGAAGTAAAATCCGCACCGCAGGAAGACCGACGGAGGCGCCATGATGAACGCGGGGAGAGCGATAAGGGGAGGAGACTGGCGGATGTCTCCGGGTTCAGAGGTCTCCCCGGAGCCCGCCCCCTTCGGCACGGCACGCCGCTTCGCCTGATTCGAGTCGTCTGCTCGGAAGCTGGCGTGGACCGGCGTTGGGCGGGGGGATTTACGAATACCGTCCCGGGGCTGTGGTGTCAGCGATCGCCCGTGCTTCAGCCCAGCCGAGCCTGCGAGCTTCAATGCCGCAACACTGTGGTCTGACGCCGGCTGCTGTGGCTCGTGTAACCGAAAAGCAGTTCCAGCAGCATCTACAGCTTTAAATATGAAATCTGTAATCACTCAAGTAAAATAAGCATTATTATTATTATTATTATTATTATTAATAATAATAATCAGGGACCAGTCTGATGTTCATTATACTGTTAAAGTTTTAAGTACCTATGCTTGTAATTCATCTAACTTGGTAACATTTAAGCCTTAAAACGTTAAGGGACATATCCCACCTCTCCCGTAAGTTCTGGGAATCTCTCGCAAATTGATACCCGCAAATGATGCGCAATGTCCCGTAAACCTGTCGTTCTGTTATTCAGCGATGGTAAAATTAGCCGGAAAGAAGTTTTACCACCGCTCTTTTGCACCGTTCTGTAAATTTTGCCCGCCTACCTGCCTTCACCCTATTCGGTAATATATACGGTATTACCGTAATACTAGCCAAGCACTGGCCAGTACCCCGCCCTCCCGGATGCCCCTCATCTGCCTCCCTGAAATCAGTATCCCCAAGGTGGGATGTCTGCGTCACATCTTCCTCGTCTCTAATATAATTTTAAATATATAAATGAATTGTTTTAAAATCATCACTTCCGCCTTTCTAACTAGACTGCCTGCGTAGCAGGGCTTCCCCATCGTCCAGATATGGCCCGCACTGGATCTGTAAACAGTGCTGACGATATCCGCAGCAGCCGAACTTAGTGCATACGTCAGCGCGGCGCGGTTTCGTGCAGTCGGATGCGCGCAGTTGCGCCGCAGCCGCCATGCGCTAAGCTCCGTCGAGTAGTGTTGGGCGCATTTACATTAACGGGCCAAGTAAGTGGCGCCTTTCATGTGGGAGGGCACGTCTGTTTGACTTTTTATTTCTTTCTCTTCCGTTTGTTACGCCTTTAGAAAAAGGACAGTTCTTAAGAGGACACATCCGCTTTATGGAATTAGTTTTGGACAGTAAAACTAATAAGATGCCTTGCCACAACCAGCAGCTGAGCGGCGCCAGCCAACAGGAACACGCTGTCAAGCAGGTCCGTTTCGTTAATACGGGCCCCGGCGGCGGCACCATCTCCAGCGCAGAGGTCAAGGAGACCCAAGGAAGCGAGCTTGTCGGAGCTCCGTGTCCGTCGGAGCTTGGGCCGCGAGTTAAGCTGCTCCCGCTGAATGACCAAATCCGAGAGCTGCAGACCATCATCCGGGACAAGTAAGTGCGCACCCCCCCCTTTTTTCGGGACTGCAGACGTGATCGACGAAGCATCGCAGGAAACGTGGTTTATATGTATGGACCCACGTGTATCCGTATACGTGTAGCTCTGATAGATACCGTGTTTTGTTTCGTGTCGGACTTGTATCCGGTAATGGCTACGGCAAAGCGCCAGCTGCCTAAGACCAGAAGGAGGAATGGGATCGCACGTGCTTTTTTTTTGGGGGGGGGGGGGTTCAGCACTTTTATACTTTGACTCATAAAATTAAAATGGCACACAAGTGCAGCGCTTAAATGGATTCCACAGAAGCTTTTTAATCTTATAACAGGGTTTTGTAACGGATATTGCTGTGGATATTTATTCATAAGGGTGTTGATGTCAAATATGAGCATTCCTATAAAATATGTATGTCATTGCTGTTGGTGGTAAATTGTGTCTTTTTTTGCTTTAAACAGGGCAACCAGCAGAGGTGATTTTGTGTTTTGTGCGGATCGACTGGTAAGTCTGGCTTCAAGAAGTCTTAAAATACTGTAATCAGAGATTTCACTTGTCGGTGTTGTGGATCTTTAAATTTAATTTAATCTTAAAGCACGCGCAGTATATGGACAAAGGTATTGGGACACCTGGCCATCATCCCATTCTAAATCCATAGGCATCAATATGGAGTTGGTCACAGCTGCCACTGTTCTGGGAAGCCTTTCAGCTTTTTCAGCTGATTCTGTGGGAATTCTAACCAGGAGGGACCAACTCCATACTGATGCCTGTGGATGGGATGTCATAAAAGTTCCTGTGGGTGTAACGGCCAGGTGTCCCAATATTTTTGTTCTTGCAGTGTACTTTAGACATGGTGATTGGCCGCATGATAATCATTAGATATAAAATGAAAGCTGGTTAATACAGAAAAGATTGGGGAAGTATCATTTTGATCGAATATTTTTAGTGGGCAGTTGGGAAATGGCTTTCCAGTTTGTGTAATCTTTAAATTTTTTTCTTCCTCTTTTTCTTTCTTCCAGATTAGACTTGTAGTTGAGGAAGGACTCAACCAGTTGCCATTCTCCGAGTGCACCGTCACGACTCCCACTGGTGAGTCCCTCATATTAGGGGAAGCTTTTCGAAAAGGGAAACCATTTTATGGTCCTGTTGTTTCTGTCGCCGACCTTCCTTCTTGTGTCTTCCTGCAGGGCACAAGTATGACGGCGTTAAATTTGAGAAGGGCAACTGTGGCGTCAGTATTATGAGGAGCGGTGAGTGCGATGCTCAGTGGAGCCGTACGCTCAAGTGTCTCCTCTGCCGATAAGCACACTGCGATTCCACTGTACAGCTAATAGGCCGTATCAGGTACCTTTCAAATGACGTAAACCGCCACTTAGCAATACAAAAAGTTACTCAAAACGATCAGGTTGTTGAGTCTGATCTGGTAAGTCTGGGGGATAAAGAAGTGTTTCTTGCCTTTGTACTTAGAAGAAGTTGTGTGTAGGGCAATTTAATGTTTGCAGTTCCGTTTTTATATCAGGGAATGGGTTTGCTATCTGTACAGGAAAAAAATCTTTTTTCATATTTCTATAAAAGTTAGAGTTTTTTTTTTTTTCCCTGTATCTCTGTGGAAAGTTACTGCAGTGCAACTTCAATAATGCACCCTGGAGAAAAGGCAAACTATGCCGCTTTGCTCCTGATCACACTCATTCCACCACGTGCAGGAGAAGCCATGGAGCAGGGCTTGCGGGACTGCTGCCGATCCATCCGCATCGGTAAGATCCTCATCCAGAGCGACGAGGAGACCCAGAAAGCCAAAGTCTACTATGCCAAATTCCCCCCCGATATCTACAGGAGGAAGGTTCTGCTCATGTACCCCATCCTGAGTGAGTATACTTGTACCTGGGGTTGGGTGTCTGAGGTGAGACCGTAGGTGTGTGAGGGGTGCTTACGTAAATCAGTGGTTTGGAGGTGTAATGTTGGTCACGCCAGTTTGGTTGACCTGTACAAGTTGACCTGTGCAGTGCAGATTGCACACGTTGTAGGTATCCTTCATGTGTATCGGCAGTGACAACCTGCAAATAAGATGAATTAACAATGAAATTATGCTTTATTTGCCATTTGCACGAGTACAGGTACATTGGAATGCTTTTCCCACCATATCCCATCTTGCTCTCCTTTCTGAGACACCCACACCTGTTCAGGTGAGAGCGAAACGGCAGGGTTAACCTTTCATCCGGTGCTTGTGGAGCAGCCGGAGGTCAAGGGCCCAACAGCAGCATCAGTCCCCCCCCCCCCGCAATGATTGGTTCATCTGTATTTACGGGTGGATTTCAGCTGAAAGAATCCAATGGGGAATAAGACCCAGAGGTGCCCACTGCACACTACCCCATAGCCTGAAAACCAAGCACTTCACTGTGACATGACATTGGGTACAGTATCATGTAAACCTCTTATTAAATGAGTGTACTTTCCTAGCAGATAACAATTTCTTACCTTTTTTTCCACATTTCCTTTGAAATTGAAGAATAGAGAGAATTCCAGACTTTCTAGTTTCTTTCACAATGACCTTTGCGGTGTTTAATTTTTTTTTTGTATATAATTCAGCATCATTAAACCATGGTAGATAATTACAGCTTTCTGAAGGAAATTGTACAGTGCCGCCAGACGGCCATGGAGGTGATGAATAGCGGAATGAAGTCCACCAGAAATAGTGCACTAATGGCCATCGCTCTGCTTCTCTCCCTGTCTCCGTCATACCCACTTTACTGTTCCAGTCCCAGAGGAAATTGCACTGAGCTGGACTCGAATGTCTTTTAGCATCTTTCAAAAGTAACATTTGCATCATAACCGGTGCACTAAGCAGAATATATTGTATGCTGGATTTATTTTTCACTTTCACTGCAACAAAACATAGTCGTTGTTTCATATGCATTGTTTAAATACCACCCTTGCAGATTAGTCATCCGATAAGGAACTTATTTTTTTTTCCTGCATTTCCTTTAGGCTGATGTTTATTTTCGTCAGGTAAACCCACCGACGTGATATTTTCACCAGTCAGAGGTGGCTAGCATTACATTGAACCTTTTTGCTTTTGTTCCTGCAGGTACCGGTAATACCGTGATAGAGGCTGTCAGGGTGCTTATTGAACATGGCCTGCAGCCCAAACACATCATCCTTCTCAGCCTCTTCTCCACACCCCATGGTAAGTCACTCCTGAAATGCCCCATCATCCAATGAGTATCATTGTTTATCAGGACCAGGGTTTTTTTTTTTTTTTTTTTTTGCAAGCTCAATTATGATTGGGCTGTTAATCTCCCACCTGGGTTTAAAATTTAACTGTAAGATGGGGTTGGTCAATGACGTTCCCTGAGAGGCTTTCGAGCAGGAGGGATGCCTTCAGTGAAGCGCAGAAGGGTTTCTTGAAGTGACTGAAACACTTTGAATGCGTTTCCCCGACCAGGTGCTCAGTCGATCGTCCAGGAGTTCCCAGACATCACGATTCTCACTACAGAGGTGCATCCGGTAGCCCCCACCCATTTCGGACAGAAGTACTTTGGGACAGACTAGCTGCAAGTCTGGAGAGCCCCTGCGATAATGCGTCGCTGGACCCACCAACAGTGTGCTTTTCCTCTGCTAAGAGCCACCTGGTAAACGCCTATTGCACCACTCAGCCAATCCATGATGGCCACCCAATCATGTGACTAGAAAAGTGTTACAAAACCAGACACGCCCACCATGAAAAGAGGAAGGGGGAAGCACATTCCATTCAGGTCTGTGAGGAAAATGAGGTGGGCACTGCCTGTTGATTTGCCTGTTTTTGCAATATTATTTATGTCTTCAGTTTTAGGGGAGGAAAAAAAATAAACATTGCTCGTAGTTTTTCTCCAGGTCTCATTGAATGAATTGCTAACAGCGCCTTGGGAGATTATGTATGTATCACCTGTCCCTCCTGTATTGTACAAAAAAGGAGAAAAAAAGGGTCTATGGACCCTTGTTAAAAAGATGCAAATATACCTTATGGTCACAGCCAAATTTCCCAAAGATTGTCCAGACTTGTAACGATATACTACAAGATTTATTTTGTTAAATTAAGATTTATAGAAATTTATAAGAATACCTTTTGAGAAACCAAAGAGCTGGTGGTGAATCATCAAGCATGGGCTTGGCTAAAGGTTAGGTGTTACCTTGTAAGCACTTTGAAGGTTATAAACACAAACAGAAGAATCATCCAGTCAGAAAGCATAGGTAAAGGCCTCTTGCACTCATCTGAGCTCTTATTGTGCCACTCTATATCTGCCTTTCCACGTGGATTACCCTTTTGTCCGCGTCTGTTTAATTGGAGGCTTCATTTCCCTGCGACAATGTCAACCGAAATTCCATTTTCAGAAGGCACGGCTTGTCTCGTCGCTGCGAGGGCAAGGCAGACTTTAGTATCAGTCGCTTCCAGCACGATATTTTTCAAAAGGAATTTAATCAAGTATTCCTCCATCGCGCTCCCGGCTCGGTGGGAAGAATTCGCGACAATGCTTCAGGCTATATGGACAAACGAGGGCCTTTTGTCTGGCGCGCATTCCAATTACGCGGTACGTTTGCGTGTGGGCCACAGCGTTTGTTTCGTAAGTACGAAGATGATGTAACGGAACCTTCACGTTCTTAAACCTTCACACGGTAGAGCGTCAGCACTAGCAACTGTTTGTTCTCCCCTTTAGTATCTGTTCATGAGTGTTTCCTCCGTGGAACATCAGAGATCGCTGTAATCGCACACGCTGGGATGATCCTCGGCTTTTATATGCAAAGATAAAAACTCAAACCAAATGCATAAACAAATAATTGTCGGAGGTGGCGTTTTTAAAAAAAAGCGACTTTTACAAACGCTATGCAAAGTGCAGAGTACAAAGAAAACGACGGGGCCTATCCGTGACGGCTCTCACGCTCGGTCACACCCACGGCTTTAACGCCAAGTACAATGGGCTGGCAATTGTGCTTTCCTGCTACAATAAAGGGAACTGACAGCAGTCAATTGACTGTCCAAACAAATGGAGTAGAATATCACTCATCGTTTTGAATGACAACCAAAGAATTATAATATTATTACTTGTTTGATAGTGTTTTAAAAAAAAACTTTTGACCATTTGGCCTAAATTATGGGAGAAGTCATTAAAAAAAATGAATATTTAGATCACACAGGTGGTGTACAGGAAATGCTTAATGATGAGCAATTAGTGATGGTGACCAGGTAGAGAATGATAAACCCAGGGGAATGAGTGCATGTTGCCTTGGAAATGGTATTAACTGGCGTTTTAAATGGGTTATGGCAGCTGACCTGCGGGGCGAAACAAATAAAATAAAATCGTTATTCTTAGACTGAAGGAGCTTTATGGGCAGGAGCTCCTGGTGTACGGTACCCAGTGCCGCCGCCTCCTCCCCCTCCCCACAATACCAGCCAGTGAGGTTTCAGGACAATGGCTGACATCTCTCACAATGAAAGACACAAAACATTATGATGCAAGACTCCCGCAGGCAAACACCCTTGAACAGCGAGATACCACTGCAGAAGCTACACACTTTCACCCAGTGAGGTACAGCAAGGTGGTGGGTGACATACCCATGATCAGGACAAACCAGAATCCCTGTAAAGGACAAACAAGAACGGAACCCACACCAAAGTGCACCATTAACCGCTAAACAGTGTCTACTTTTGACAGGATGACAGTACTTTGTGCCTTTGTATTGCGCTGCCCAGGTTTCGTATAAGAAATAACCAGTTAAAAACACTATCGGTTTAAATTAAAACAATTTCAGGCTTTAAATTTATAATTCCTTCAGGCTAAAATACTCTTAGCAGCGACAGGGAGCCGCTCTTACATGCTATTCATGGACACGTCTTCTAAATATTTCTTTAGAGTCATCTTACAGGTATAGAAAAATAACACGTCATTAACCGCTTTTACCTCGATAGTGATGGAAAACAAACCAGACAGATGAAGTACCCAACAAAAAAAACACATTATCAAAATAACACAACATCCTCCCCAGAAAGTCTTTAAAAACTGATTGTGAATAAATAACTCCCCACTTTCATCCTTTTCTCGCCCTCACCATTCCTTCCCGTCCCTCTGAAGCGCTGGCGTGTTTTCGCCGTGCTCCTTACCACCACCAAGCTTGCATTTCATACATACGCCATTAACGAGTTAAGTGGAGATGCTACGTCTCCCTTGGTCACGGACACGCCTATGCTGCGACACAGGTAATGAACCGAAATGTAAACCTGCATGACTAGTCAAAGTGCATTTCCCATAGTGAAGCGGAGATATGACAACGCCGCATGACCAACTTCAGGGCAAAGCAGAAGCTGGTTTCACCACATAGTCCGTAAACCGCCGTTTTCCGGTGGCGGTAATTTCATATGGAATACATTTCCTAATAAATCCCTCTGATGAATGTCCCATGTCATCTTCATCACTGGCTCAAGTTTAAAAGCCCACCCCCCCAAGTCTGAGGAAAAATGAGCACAACCCTGGTCTCCACTCCTGGAAAGAGCAGCACGCTCGGGTCGTCTTCTCTGTTAAGGTTGGCAGGGAGGGGGTGAGCTTGTCATACGTAACACCCCAGGGAGCGGCCTTCACAACTGTAGGTAGTGAAGTGGTTTGTGCATGGATCAGGGTTTGCGGTCAGGATGGACAAGAGAAAAAAGAAACAATTCTATGGTATGATAAAGGGGGGGGGGGGGCACAGGCTGAACACCTGCTGTTGGTATGAGCCTGAATATGAAGATCACTTCAGATGATATGAGACAGTGAGATTCCAGCTGATGCTCTCATTTCCATGGTAACGGCAATCACGACGATGGGCTTAGGCAGAGTAAAGATCAATAATCAATCTCGTTACCAGCTGCAACACCCCCCGTGATAACCATACACATCTGTATGGTGACACGGGGGAGGGGGGGGGGGTGAAGACGCTGTTCTTGTTTGACGTTCGGTTCCTTCTAGGGTCTCTCAGCTGGTCTGAAATTCTTCACAACTTTGTAGGCATCACCATAGACACGGCAGCAGCAGCATCTCCACACACACGCACCTCCACCACGTCGCACCGCTTCATCGCTGTTAAAAATCACCTTGAATGATTTCTGCTGAAAAAGAGAGAGACAGAGGGAAAAAAAATAGCATCATCCTGGCTTTACGGGGAACACTCGGGCAACACGAGAAGCGCGACCGTTGTGGGCCAGTCGACTGTCTCTCAAGGAGGGTGTATCCTTGTGGGTGACAGATCTACCGCAAACCGCTGAATAAAGTGGGGAGCTTGGACCGGGGGAACTGAACCGTCTCGCTTTGTACCGAAGATGAAAAACAAAATAACTCACCTGCTTTGCTCTCCAGCCAATTACGACTCTATGTGTATGGTGACTGAAGGGTCTCTTTGAATGGCTGAAAGAGAGGCAAACAGGCGTAAACAACTTGTCTAAATGCTTTTTAACTAACATGCTCAACAAACATAAAGCAGCTGCATTTTAACCCTTATCTTTTCAACACGTGCTGCGCTGATATAACTGTCCACTAGAGGGCAGTATTAAGACACTGCGACTGATCTTTTGTTGTTTTTCTTTCTAATAAATATGCACATCATGCCATATGTCATTTTCTGATGGTAAATAAACCAACTGTGAGACTAAATAATGTTCCAGATGCAGAGGTGTGTGACAGTTAGGATTCTGTGCAGTGGGTCCTTGTCTTTGCAGCCAGGATGCCTAAAAAGGCCACATCACGCTGTTGTTTTGAAACTGGAACTGCCACACGGTGGCGCTGTGTCTGTCCACTATGAACATTTCCTTCAAGGCTCATTCAGCATGGAAGGCATCACGGTGATCTACTGAGTAATCAGAGCTCAGCCCCCCCCCCGACACAAGCCAAGGAAGGAGATACCTCGTCAGTTTGTAGTAGATACATTACACAGGACAGATGAAACCCAGCTTCACTGCCACATAAAACAATAGCACCACACCAATCCTACCTTTAACAGTGTCTGTGTTAAATGACCAGTCACACAATAAGTGGGGACTATACGTCAACTGTACGGTACACACAAAAAGAAAAATCATTCAGCTTTCTGATCGTATGTCGTCCACTCATGTCCATTCGTGATGATGTCAGTTCCCTTATGGTCCTCTAGGTTTTCCATATGAATGAAAGCACATTAGCATGGAAGCAGCAGTTATTATCAAACTAATTTAATAATTTCTTAATGAGTAGATTATAGATACTCTAAAATATCAGTTGTAGAGGCGCTTTCTTTCAGGGGACAGATTTTCCACAGAAATTCCTCTTATAACGACACATACAAATTCAACAATGTGTGCATCAAAAGCTTTTATATTTTGGGGAGCTGAAAGATGCTTGCCCAGCAGATTTCTGGAGAGCCTTCTCAATATTAGCTTGTGTTAATATGAGAGTTCTGACTCATGCCTACAGTCAGGCCTGACTGAGCACTCACCACAGAACCTAAGTAGGTGTCGAGTACCTCCATGGTTTTCACACAGCAGAAGCCTGACTATAAATGGGACGAAGCCCAAATTGGAGAAGGGCCCTCACCAAATTTCCTGTTGCACTTAAGTAGATGAAGTCCACTTGTTGAGAGGAGGCATAACTATAATCTCTACCCCCCCCCCTCCAAAGACCCAGTTTCCCCCCCACGCACCCACACATCCAGATGCTTACGCCTCTCAGATCACAAGCATCCGATCGCCTCCCCGCCACCCAACCCCGCGGGGCGCAGTAGCGTCCGTCGGACGTATTCCAAGGTGCGCATCTCACCTGATTGTTTTCGGATGGGCGGATGTAACTGAACTGGACTTCACACTCTATTAGACCCGGTAGTACTCTAGCCAACGGACTCGACTTACCTGGACTTTCTTCATCCGATCCGCCGTCTTCGTCCCATTGCTCCTCGTTACCTAATAAAGGGTTCCGGGATTCACTCTGGGTCCGCATGGGGAAGAAATGACCATCGCCAAGGCTGCAAGAAAACCATGAGAACCTTTTGTAAAATGTCCTTAACCTGCAGAAGATCTTCATAGTGTCCATTACTTCTTGTACCAATACCTAAGGTCACTAATGAACATAAGTTTTGCGTTCCGCGACTTAGCTGAATGTACTTTTGTACACCAAAAGATAGTGCTGCATCTTCTTCTGACTGACTTTGAGGTCTCAAGTGTCACAGGGATAAGTCTACCAGCAGAAGACAGAAACTCATAGAGTGACACATAGAGTTTGCTTTGCTATCACCAGGATGCACAAGTGGGTCTGTGTGTAGGAGCTAAACATCACAAACTGTATCGGCCTTCATCTCTAGTGTGGTAGCATTTGTGATTTAAAAACAGTTTACGGTGACTGAGAATGATCCAATAAAGATTCAATAAAGTGAGAAAGTGATGCCCCTACAGGAAATCGACCCCCATGAAGTGGACTGATTTGTTATTTCTGGGTCTGATGTAGATGTAATGAATTAGACCAGGCAATCATAAAATCGACAGGACTCAAGATAATCTGCATTCCCAATAGGCCCCAATAGCTGCCCTCACCTTGTAAAAACAGGGAGGAACCAGAGCTTCCGCTCATCTCCGAAAACTTGGATCAGGTTCCTCCGGAAGCCCAGGTTGAAGCCATTCTTGTCAGGTCCGGTCTGGAATATGGGGGCTGAGAAAGCCTCTGGGGAAGGGGGGGGGGGGGGGCACAAGGCAGGACCTTGTTAAATGTTTACTCCACATTACAATAGAAGGGAAAGCTGTTAATTCTTGAGGATACATCCTGGGTCTTAGTGGGAGTTTCAAGTAGTATCTACATCATCAAAAAACTGATCTACTGGAAGCTTCATGTATATCAATGACTTTAAACCATCCTTCTTACTTAGGATATATTTCTGATTTCCCATTCCTTTTCAAATGCGAACGACTCAAAGCAAAGAACAAAGAACACCTCCCGTCGCCTGTTCCGGCCCCTGCCCCCACACCCCAGCTTACCCAATGTGGACCTGTTCTTGGTCACCAACCAGCAGTGGTACCCAAAGAGGAACATGAGGCTGAGGAAAAACATGAGGGCCACGAACATGAGGAAGAGTACATGGAACTTGGCCTGAACGTTGGGCAGCTCTCCCTAAAGAGATGGGGGGGAGGGGGGGACAGACAATGGGAGAACCGAGACATGTGCGTCAGCTTCGGACTTAAATAGTGCCGGTTCACGAGACCCATTTAGCTTTTCAGAAGAAAAGGAGAGTGGCTCAACTAATTTGTCTCCTGGACGACAAACCAGAACATCATACTAATTTTGTACAGCTATTTCAGTAGTTCATCTCACGTATATAAATACATGGCAGAGACAGATTGAGAGAGGCACCAGACCCAGCCTCCAGTTGCCGAAACCACATAAAATAACGCAAAACCTTCAAGACGCAATCCAAAAGACTACGTTACTCACCGACCAAAACTTGAGGAAATATCGAAATACTGTTGCAGCGATGAAGACGCAGTAGAGCATGGAGTATGTCAGGAACAACAGGAAGAACTTATAGTTGGAGAAGCCCACACAATTATTTACCCTGAAACAAAAGATTTTTTTGTCATTACACCTAAACAATAGTTGTGTGGCTGTAATTGATCATAAATGCAGGAGACCTACCATGGACAGTGATGATCCATTTTGAGGACGCATCTGAAAAGAAACAGACAAGGATTACGGCCATATAATGCAGGCACGCTTGGCAGGTCTCTTTTACAAGGATGTGGACTCCTCACAATTTCAGGTCAGGCCCTCCTAGCCTCTTTGAAGAAATCTTGTTGTGAAACGGCTTCCTGTGTAACAGAAACCATTTCTTTCTTGAGAGGATTCGGCCAGCAGCCCCAACAAAAAGGACTTCTGTCCCACCCTGCTTTCCACAACCATAACACATCCCTTTCATCACCCCCCACCAACCACCATAGGTGATGCCTACTGTGCACTGGAACTGGGCCCAACAACAAGCCTCACTAGGAAGGAGACCGAATCAGACTCTGGGAACAAAGGGCTCATTATTAGCTGCACTATCATATGACGACTGTCTGCTTGCTCTTTTGTGAGCGACTTTATGGCTTTTTGTTCCAGTCATGAAATGCCACAGTGTCAGCAGCACAAAGGCCGCTTTGCTGATGCCGAAGTCTGAGACTCAAGAGAACGGACTAGATTTGATATATATGTATGTATTATATGGATTTGTGGATTCATTCTTCTACGGAAGGCTTCCCTCACAAGGAGAGCGGCTGCTCCCGGCAGGACGCCCCCCCACCGGACGGTGGCTTTCCTGGTGGAAATTTACCTTCACCTAAATAAGCTGCGGGGGGGGGGGGGCTGTGACACTTACGTCTCACAGACAGAGCAGTGATGGCACCGGTCAGGCTTCAGCAGCTGACAGCGGTCGCAGAACCTGATCGCTGGGGGGGGGGAGAAAAAAAAAAGGTGCAGACTGAAGCAGCTGAGCTGTACTTATGATATACCTGCCTACTGCCATCACCACAAACACAGAGCATCAAAGGCCGACTACATTTCCCAAGCACCCCTGGCTGGAAATGGTTACAACTAAACCAAGTTGTGTTCAAATACAATTAGTACTGACTGAACGCAATGCATTTCTGGTTCCAAAAGGAATTGGGAAGACTATCATCTGGCACAAGGTGAATACAGATCTTGACAAGTCTAAATATCTTATCCCCAGTCTCTCAGGAGTGATCACTGTGGTCACACAGGTGTCACAAACTCCTCGGTACAAAGTACTAACCAACATGGCAACCAAGACAACCTCAAAGTTTCAAAGATACATACATATTACTTTTTATCTGTTATGGCACAAATGTGTCTTTTATAACCGAGAATTATAAAGGCGCCCAACCTACTGGGGACAGCCAATGAGAGATGAGACCCACAAACTGTCATCTTCATCTGACTGGCTGTCAGCTGGGTCCCTGCTTTGTGTGAGGCTAACATTTGTGCACAGAGTAGCTCAGAGCTGCACCGTGCTCCCTGCTACGACGCGCAGAGGCAAAGCCGTGACTGAACTTTCAAAGTGGCCTCTTTCAGCTCGATCAAGGGCTTTTCCTCATCGAGTGACAGCAGCGCGGAGCCCTCAGTGGCAACTGCCACAGAAACACAAGGGAAGCCTGTTCGTCGAGAGGGAAAAATGCAAATCACTTGCCTCCAGATGTTGTTCTTGTGAAGATGGGAAGCTTCTTCGCCACCTCCATGAGAATATGCTTCTGCACATCTGGTCTGTCTTCCTTATCGTACCGCTCCTTGTCCGAGTAGGAAAGGTGGAACTAGGAAAGTAACAAACAGAAACGGTATATTTTAGTTGGAATAACGCCGCAGTAGGTTCTCTACTGGGGTTTATTTGATTCTTGAGCTGGTTTCTACTTAAGTAGGACTCGACCTGATGATGTATGCTCAAGGCCAAATTTTCTCCAAAGTTAAGTAGGTCCCTATGACATTGATAATAATATATTCTCCTAAGCACTTAGAACTTTCCACAGCTCGATTACCTTCTTGCCAGGTGTGGAGGGAGGTGTGAAAATGGACTTCCAGTAAGTCCACAGAAACATCACAAAACAAGCATGGAACACCAGAAGGTAGGCCGCTGCGAAGAGACAACGGCATGAATTTGCTGCATTAATAAGCCCAGGTCCCAAAAAAGCTAAATGCATCAGTGCCCGTGCAAATACCAAACGCCAAACAGTTCCTCATTCAGCCTATCAGAGCACGGCTCCAGTCTTCAGAAGTATAATGAACTACTGGGTCCCTAATGAAGATATTTACAAGTTATATGTCAAATGATGTTTCGATTACCTTTTTCCAGGGTGTTGCTGAGAGTGACTAAAACATAAAAACATAAACAATTATTTCCATTAAAAATCGTTTACGTTAACAAGCATCCACAATTGCAAACAAATTTAAGTACAAAACTTACGCACAGCTGTGCAGTCTAAAGGACTTGTATTAAATCCTCATAAACCATATATTACTTATAATATCACTAACTGTCAAATGTATGTAATCTATCGCTAACAGTTACATGCATAATTATTTGGATAGCTTTACTCGACGATTAAAATGTACTGATACATAACAGTTGCACGCATTATTATTAATGGCCTTTTAAAGCAATAAATAAGTCATGTATACATTTTATTTCCGAGATAAGTAGTTCGTCAACTAGCTACTATCATATTCAATCTGACCAAACACTTCCCGACTGTCTTAGCAATTTAGCTAGCGAGACTGCAAGAATAAAAAAAACCCAAAATGCAGAGATTCCTTTTACTTACACAGACACAGCTCAAAGACATACGCGTAATAGGACCACAAAACTACAGACGTGATAATAATGACGGGGATCCAGGAGAATATTCTTTGACAGCATCTAAACCCTCTCGACAAAGCCATATTCAAACAACTAGCACAGAAATCATCTTCTCTGTGGTCGATTGAAGAGCCTAGGGGGGCCTGACGAGATCTGCGTTTGATTTGTTCAACTGAAAGGACAAAAGCCCGCAGTCAGAGCAGCGCTAAAACGCCCCCTGCTGGTGACTGGAACAGTACGTTGACCCAGGGTTCTTGTATGAATTCATTTTATTTTATGCATTTATACGTCCCGGTATAAATGTCTTATTAATTCAAATGGTTTAAATACATCGAGTAATAATAGCAGGACAAATTGTTTCTGTGTTCTAAATATCTGCGGACAAATCCAGCCTCGTTAAAACCTATAACAGATACTCTTGCATAGTGGTTTAGTGGTGTTGTCGTAAAATAGCTCATAAAAATCATTCTTTCGTGCAGATATCAAGATTCAAGCAATCACGCAATAGATAATATAGAAAATGCAATATCACGACCAGCTGTTAGGAGCTTTTAAAAGCGCAAATTACCGCTACATTTCTCGCCAATGTGCCAATACTGTCTGTGTACAGACGCGGTCTTTTGAAGATACCGCTCCTACAATAGGTATGAACTTGACGAGGTCCATAAAAGAAAATGTGTATTCGTGGCAAGACTGAACTTTTAAAAATACTGTTCCTGCTTGACTGGTTGGACGAAACTACAAAGACTTGTTCTGTTTTTGTCTTTAATGAAAACCCTTATCCTGGACATCATTTCAGGAGATGATTCGAAATACGTGGGCATGAGTTTTTACCGACAATGACCAGTTGGTGCCGCTGATAGATCAGGCACAAGAAGCGCCGTTGCTTTGAGAAGCGGATAACTGTGATTTATGAAAAAAGTAGTGCGGAGGAGCCAGCGAGTCGTCCTGGCATTTACACGTTATTACCGTGAACTTAAAGCACAGTCACGGTATTATTTTATTGTACTTGTGATGTTCCATAAAGGGGGAAAAAACAGAACTTTTAAATTGGTTTAAATTTAAAATATTTCTGCAGAAAGTGTACATTTTACAATGGCTGCAAATCTATACAAATTAGATCCCTTGTGTACCAAAATCTTAAGACTTAAGATTTATTAAGTGAACTGTGACATTGGTTTGGTCATATTCTCCATAATTACTGTGTCACCCCTTCCCTGACAGTGAAATCAAGGTGCAACTAGCAAAATATTTCCACAACACACCATAAAGCTTGATGGTCCAAGTGCCGAGTGAAGCCTCTGACCCTTAGGTGCATATCTTCCCCCAAAAGATGCATAGATTTGGGTGTGGTCACAAATTACTACTATGATTAAACCAGACCCATTGCTTAAATTTGAGTCTTCCTTCGTGAAGTATCAGCACAAAACTTCTTCTACCAGAACTGATAGCACTAGAGAGCCCTGCCCTGAGACAACTTCAGCGTTGAGCCAGGAGACCCAGTGTTACAGGGATTATGTTCTTTATTCAGAATGAGATTGCATGACCAGGGGTAGGTCATTAATAACAACTGTCATCACATCTGCATTTACCAATGCAAAGGGGATGGGAGAAAGACTCAGGATTAATGGCCAGTTTAGCATAACTCCACCCTGTCTAGCTAACAACTAAGCCAACTTTTATTCTTTTTCTTTATTCATATCATCAGCAGCACAAATGTGATCATGAAAAAGCAATTTAATTGAAATCCTTTCGAAAATATACGGCTTACTTTTCTAGCGGTCACTGCAAGCACTTGCATATATTGTTGTGGAATATATTTCCAGGTATTCAAACACATTTTTTTAATACACAATTTTTTGAATACACAATGAAATGAACGGGGATCAAACGTCGCCCATTATAGCAAAATGGTACATTACCTTTGAAGGCGAAAAAGATAATTACGAAATTCAAACGCAAACATGTCCAGAGGCCATTTTTGTTTGGACTGTAGATAATTTCATTTGAGGTCATGTTTTTATTTAGGCTGTGATCACAGAAAACATGTCTGAGCAGAATGACGCGACCCATGAATTTGAGGGTAACCTCGGGTGTGTTGTCTTGTGAGGACGATGCTTTTTTGAGGTCAGTCTCAGGCACGTGCCCAGGTGTGCCCCGTGCCACTTACCCCCTTCCATTGGGAGGGAGCCTCAGGTGAACTGAAACCCAGGCCACGCCCCCCCCCCCCCCCCCCCCCCCCCCCCCCCCCGGGACTGCCTCTCTTGCTGGGTTTCACACGAGTTCCCTCTTGCCCCGCCACTCAGGTGTTCCGTGACGTGATGACAGCAACGTTCTGTAGACAGCCGTTCATCGGGGGTGCAGTGCGGCATAGACCGTCTGTCAGCTTGCCAGCGGCTACTAATCGATCCTGAGTGGGAAAACAGACTGTTAGTCAAAACACAGGCCCAGGCCGCAAGACTCAGACACCTCGGATCAAACGGCCTGAACTGAGCCCCAGCTACCTTCACGCTGGCAGAGGTTTGAGCCGAGACTGTGTGTTGATAATGCGCTGGCATGCCCACGTGCAATGGCAGTCCTAGGATCCCATAAACGTTGTTCTACTGAGGAGTGATTTAGAGACAGACCATTGTTCGAGCAGAACTGAATAGAGATGGAAAGATGGAAAGTCGCTGCTTTGTTAAATTTAGGGATATGATCAAGTTATGCTGTCTGGGGTATTTGTCACTGATCCCTGAATCAGGGAAGTTTTCTCAAGGCTTAAAATTTCCATGAAATAGTTAAGAACAGTGTGCATGTGCTCAAGTGTTTATACATCTGAATGCGATGATATTTCCAGGCTTTTCTATTTCTGTCTCCTTGAACTCATCTTGGAGTCGTGGAACAGAGTTTAGACTGTTGTTTTCTGCATCACCTTGACACTGGCTATGGCTGGATAGCGCTCCAGTCTTGTCCCAGGAATGCTTAAGTAGCCTGGAAGGGCGTCCATCTCACACGCAATCACTTGATGAAGTCAAGGTGGAAGGCAATTTAGGAAGGCCTTACTTTTTCATATACAGTCATTTGCATCCATAGCTGATTACAAGCCGTGCTTCTCTGCCTTACTTCAAGCTCATTTGAACCGGGAACCCATTGAAATAGAGGGGAGTGAGGCTTATTACAGGACTGTTTGAGGTGACGAATCCAGACAAATTAAAGACACAACTCCCCCAGGCGTATTAGAAATATCTACTTAAGGACAGTCGTTCTCGCCTCCAAAAGAGACTGAATTTTTTGTGGCAGAGTAATGCTATTGGATTTGGATGATGGCACAGTCGTTACTTATCATTTAACGAGAAACAGGTTTGTTGCCCCAAGGCTAAATCAGAAAGGCCGATCTTTCAGTCCACATCTTGATGAATAAAAGTGCGGTTGTAGCACTTCCAACATTTCATGTATGATGTCGTCTTCCGCCGACTCTCCTCATGAGTTATGTCGTGACGACATGATGCCCCTGAAGCTGCCGTTTGGGCTAGTAATCAATCTGTTAACAGGGGCCGATTGCAGTCTGCAGCGAAGTCGTGAAGCGCCACCATCCGGATCGTTTCATTTTATCGGCTCTTGGATGTATAGCTACAGACCGGGCCTCAGCTCATCAGACACTGAGAAAGATCCCCCTCTTACCATGTGACGACCGGTTGTGGGTGGACACAGGGCAGCGATCAAACCAAACCAATCCGAGCAAACATCAGGACCTGGAAACCCGGGACCTATACAAAAATAAACAATTATAAGACATGGTGGTGGGGTTACAGCCACCTCATCCGGCATGTGTGAACATAAGGGAGCCCTGGGGGCGGAGTGCGTTCTGGAACACTCATGAAAACTTCAAGGGCCTCGTCACACAGAAAGCCGCTCCACAATTTGCTCCTTGGATGCTCGTTCCAGCCAGCATTCCCAAAATCCTAATTGGCACACGGCTCTGTCCCGGTCTGCCTACATGTTAATGTTTCCACAAAGTTGCATGGGAAAGCAGATGGATTAATGGATGCTTGGGTCATTATGGCCGCTCCACTGTCTGCGTTGAAACTGCACTTTTAGTCACGTCTAGAAGGCCCCTTTGTTTCCCGGTACTCGCCGGCCATCATCTCCGTCGAGAAAGCTCCTTTCATCTCTCCTTTCGACATTAAATTCCTTGACAACCGCTTAACGGACACAAGGGCCGAATCCAAAATAAAGGGCGGACACCCTATCCGCCCCATCCCTCAATGCCGTGTCGTAAACAGCTTGCCCCCAGACAAATGTTAATGAAAGCCGTTTTGGAAACAGCAAGAAGCGACAGGCAACGTGGGGATCAAAGCCGACGCACTGATGATAAGCCCAGTGTGTCTGGAGATGGAAAGTTTAATTACACTGCAGTCTAAACTTAACCTTCTCTTTATGAACCAGGACAACAACAGGAAAATACAGTCTATAAATAATCTCTCATCTGCCGTTGGGGGGGGTAAAAAATAAATCCCAATGCTTTAGTTGCGGTTTCATCGCCCACGCTGGACTTTCCGTAAATACTCCGCACAACCACCAATCAACATTATTTATGTTGATTGACATGGTACCGCCCACGTTAGCATCCAAGGTACGAGCCGGGACGTGTTGCCGAAATAATCGCAACTCCCTGTTGCCAGGCCGAGCGTCACCGTAAGTGGAAACTCTCGTCCGGGAGGTTCATGCGACCGCTAGCTGTCCACCGAGATGTCCCGCGTCTCCTCCGAGACACATCTAGCTGCGTGTCTGTGCTTCCCCTCCAGCCCTGACGAAACTATGAAGTTGCGTGCCAATTGTCAGCAAAGTGCACGGGATACAAAAACACAACGCTATGCTAAAAATGCTACAACGACGATTGTTAGTTTTTTTTTTTTTGGTCAATCGTCATGTCGACAGTTCTGTTTTTTTTTTTTTTGGTCGATCGTCATGTCGACAGTTCTGATTAAACGCATCATCAGACCTTGGGATTAATCTACAGTTGGAACAGGCCCTTGACACCCCCAGCCTTGGCTCTGGCCCCCGGGCGTCACCACGCTACTGACACGACGCTAGCTGGACCTCATGTTCGTCGCTGTGTCTCTAAGGAGCAGGTGGACTCCTGAGGAGCGGGAAGCTGTTTCCATTACAGCTGTGTCCCTTT